ATTCCTACTAGTATACTGACTGCTCCAAAACCGACTAGGGTTCAGAGGTAGGGTCTTTGAGATGAACCCAAGAACTGACAGTAAACCTAGGTAAGTATGCTACAGTTTTCCACTTTAAAATCATAGCGAACAATTTGCCAGAGAAATAAAAAGGCTAGGAATACATTCCCGGAAGATAGCCATTTTCTCTCAGGATAGCCAGGCAGCTCTCAGGGCCTTTGCCTAATGCGAAGCGAAGGCAAAGAGTGTTTGGAGCTGCATGTAGGCCCTGACGGAAGTCAGCGACACTAATGACCTGACCTAGCATAGCCCTTTACATTCGGGGCATAGAGGCAACGAAAAGAATGATATTTGGCCAAAAAGAGAGCCAACATGAACTCCATGGACCCAGAATCCTACTGCGGCCTAGCAGCCTACCACAAAAGAGGATACATCTTAAAATGGATCCTTACTGAGTCCAAAACCTAGTGGAACAAGTGGCGAAGAGATTCATACAAGGACCATCCGCAAAACTTACAAAAGAATTACTGGAATTCAACCGCAACCGAACCATGATTCTGGTTGGACTACTGACAGGGCACTGTTACTTAAGAACGCACATGGACAAGATAGGGGTACAGACTGAAGAAACACTGTTATCCCTATCACTATCCCTATTATGTAGTATATTGTGTGAATTGTAATTATAAAAATAAACCAACACTTTCCAAATCGGTGTGAAAAGTCATTCCATTAATATTATTAAATTAATAATCACAATGAGGACCATTTGAATTTTCTCAGTTAGACACACTGATTAATACAAAATGTTGCAGTTAGGTGTAAGACCCCTATCGTAAATCTAATAAGCATTCTTGAGCGTACGATGTAACAAAGAAACGCGATGAAAACGACAACTTCTTTTATCGAACAACTCCCTCCCGATTTCGAAAAGGCTACACACTGAGTTTTGTAAATCAACACTTTCATATTGATACAATACACAACAAAAAACATGGAATTTATAAACATATTTGTTTTTCTATTTGTCAGAAGGATGAAGAAATTGGATAGTATACCTTGCCAATGGTGGTCTATTGACCAAATTACTTCTTTGAATTAATTAATCTTTTTATGTAAGGTTTTGGTTGAAATGAAAAAGTTAAGCCAGGAACACACTTACCCGATGCTTCGCCATGCGACGCTACCCGATGCTTCCCGACGCAAATCCAAACTCCGATTTTCCATAAGGTTGCATTACCCCCGTGCACATCTACCCGATGCTATGCCACGCTAACCTCTGCGATCCCCACGGTCCAGATTTTCATTTAAAAAAATTAATTTTAATGGTTTGGTAGAAAATTAATCAAAACAACGGAATAAGATTTTTTGATGTAATGAATTTAACTAACAATTTATTGACTCGCTTCGGCGGTACATATACTAAAACTGGAACAATTTATTACACGGTTTTGCTCATAAAATTTAATTAACAATTTATTTCATAGTTTTGCTCGTAAAATTACACCATTTTGTAATGTCGGGTAGCATCAGAACAGGACACTCATATTTTTTGTAGTTTATTTCAAACTAAGTACATGTAATTTTGTCGTTATATTAATTACAACATGTTATTTTAATGTAAACCAAATTAAACGAGATCAAAAATGCATAAGTTTTTATAAACATTGTTTAATTATGATGGTTAGGAGTAACTTTATTTAAAATAATTAATTTTAACAAACAATTTATTAATTGGTTGTGCTCATAAAATTTAACTAACAATTTATTACAAGGTTTTGCTCAAAATAGTGCATTAAGAACAAACGATGCGTTGCGATTGTGATAGTGATTATTGTGATAAACGCTCTGGACTGTACGCAACGTGTGCTTGCGTCGGATAGATATGCAGACCCCACCAAAACGTGGCAAGGCGTCGGGTAGCGTCGCATGGCGTAGCATCGGGTAAGTGGGTTCCCGGCTTTAGTGTCACGAGCGGGATTGGAACCCACGACCTTCGGCTAAATACGCCGCTGCTCTTACCACTTGAGTTATCGTGACTTCGATCCACTCAGACACGAACTCCCCATCTCAACCTACAACCTTTCGAATTTTCCCTCCTTTTTACCATTTTTCAAATGTCGTGTAATCAGGATTCGATTCACGGCGACAAATGAAATGGCCAAGGAGAGCTTTAGTGAAGTTGTACTTAGTTTTACTTATTAAATCCATTATATTTAGTGGTCTATTGGCCGAATTACTTCTTTCAATTAATTAATCTTTTTATGTAAAGTTTTGGTTGAAATAAAAAAGCTTGTGCCACGAGCGGAATCATTTAATTTTGATATATCCTTTAAATTACGAAGTATTAAGTACACTAGTACAACAACAAGAAAAATAAAAAATTTCCGTATATAATTCATACAATTTTTAATCTATTACAACTACATGCTTATATTAATAAATTATAGCTGATAAAATGATTGGAGACATCTATTTAAAGTGTTAAGTTTATTTTTTATGTATTTTGTAAATTTTAATTATAAAAATGAAACTTCACCTCCTAAATCGGTGTGAAAAATCACACTATTGAAATTAATAAATTGTTAATTACAATGAATAATAATTTAATTATCGAAATTTTATGCTAAATCGTTCTACATTTATACGAATGCGTATAAAATTTACAATTATAAGCAAGCACTAAGAAGGGACGATGAAGTACAGAATAAAATATTTTTTGATTTCATGTAAATTCTATTTCATTTGTCTGGATCATTCCAAGGTTGAAAGGTTAAATCAATATGTTTCAACTTTAAAAGGGCACGCCCTCTCCACTCAGTTCCCGTCAATACAGACTGAAAGCATCCCTTTTAGTAATTGATTGTGCGTTAGTCTGATGTGCCATATTCGTGAACCCGCCAGTTTACATTCTAGAGAGTAGGGTCTTCATCATTTAAGCCGATACACGTATAATGATAAATTTATTGGTTCGTGTATGTGAGATTTTGCAAAATGAACTGTACTCACTTTCCTCATCTCATTATTTAAAACTATTTAAATTTTATAATAACAATTCCTTAAAGTTAAAAAATACTTTCAATAAGGAAGTTTTGTAAACTAAACACCTAAAACTAACGAAAATTTATTAAAAATTAAAAAGAAATGCTCATTACGCGATTTAACATGGGTATTGATTAATTAAATATCAAATATATGTATAATATAACACAGCTTTTTTAATCAAACTAGTTTTAAATTAAAATAAAATTGATTAAGGTTTTTAGTCGAGTTAAAAAGTCAATAGCACGAGCGGGATTCGAACCCGCGATCTTCGGCTGGATACGCCGCTGCTCTACCAATTAAATTAAAAATTGGTTATATTGGCTAAATTAAAATAAAAATTTGGTAATTTGGTCGCTACCAACCGTTTATGCGTTTTTTTAGGTCCCATGTTTAGTATTGGTCGGTGTAATTTCTATCAAATGAATCCTGAGAAGGACGTGAAGTTCAATTATGACGGGCACCTATACCCTCGTGCCAATTCTGTCTTTTGACTTTTGTAATGAGACTTTCAACTCTAAAAGCGATTTTTCGGTCTGATAAATTTAATGAACCTTTCAGTACAATCGTGGTGTACGACTAGAAAAATCATAAGGGCTATTCTCCGCGTACCACATGGCATGCGTTCTAGGTCTCTACCAGCCCGCAACCCGCAACCCTCGAGATGCCTCAGACTTACAAGAGCAGCTAGCCGATCGTTGTTGGCATGAGAGATAGCCCAGTTTCTCCCAACAGAGGCGTCTCATTAGAGCTTTCTGTAATAAGAGTAACATTCGTTAGTATTCACATTTACGTGGTACTCCCTCCACTCCTAAGTTCCGAGTGGTTTTTACCAGACAGCCACTTTGATACCATTCCCATTGTGAAACTTCAAGGGGCTTGGTACCAGAAGAAGTCTGATACTAATCTCGCTCCTTCTTAATGCGGGGATGGATTTATCTGAGGGTAAATAAAAATCGATCTCAGATATAGGACGCAACCTCAAAACTTAGTCTTACTCAATTTTTCGCTAGTTCTTACAGCCATCGAGGCCATGTGGTGAATAACAGTAAGCCTAAGTTGCCTCTCTAGCACGAGATGGATATGTGATATGTCTTACTTCGTAGAGCTTGCTACATCGTTCAGGATTTAAGCACCAGAGAGAAAATTCACTCGTGTTTAGATGTATTGTAGTATCTCTGTAGCCAAAACGCAGAATTAGTAAAAGGTATTTACGCACAGTTCTCATGGTTCCTTCGTGCGAAAGGCATGGGTCCTCTGTGTGAAGTTAAGAATGTGGACTATCCCGTTCAGAGTAGCCGAACCTTTTCATGGGAAAAATTGAGTAAGACTAAGTTTTGAGGTTGCGTCCTATATCTAAGATCGATTTTTATTTACCCTCAGATAAATCCATCCCCGCATTAATGCATTCAATCTAGAGAACAAGTAGTCCATCATTACTGATTTCAATGTTTCCCCCAACGAGTTCCAGGGGTTTAGCATGATCGTAAGCACACTCCTGCGTCAACTCCCCAGCCGAAGATGGACCTGTCCAGGTCAAGCTGCATCCTATTCAAACAAGTGGGTTGACCTCTTCAATTCAACGCAAAAGAGCAGTGGCTGCCATGAGATGGCATGAGGTTACATTGCATGGGAATGGATATATACATGATCCATTCAGTTCATTGTTCCTACCACCGTGCATCCTTAAGACGTTGGGTTATCTAAGCATCCCTCGCATGGTGGTGCGCTCACGTCAAAAGTTCGATGCCTGCAATGAGCCGAGGAGATGCGAACATAGCGAGGATCAACCAAAATGATCATTAGTAGTATTTATTTATCTATTCACAGACTCCACCGAGCAATTTCACATTATATACTTTTAATTATTAAAAATGTTTAAAAAATACAATCATTATTGCCTCTTATAAAATGTATATATCTTCACTGTCATGTCAAAATATTTATTTCTGTTGTAGATAAATGTGAAACGGGATCTTACCCCATCGAAAGGCTGCGCTCCCTTGGGTATAGTGATCCCTACGACAGAGTACGAGCTGGTTCGCCTGGAGGTGGACCTTTCAGGCAACACTCTCCTGTTTTTGGGCCATTCAGACCGAGGTTCGAAGAAAGGCGGCGTGAAAAAGCGGCCGACCGCCTTCCAGCCACCCCTTCTCCAGTGCAACGCCCCAGAGTTGCCGCCGCTCACGCACTTTCTCAACAGCTACAACGCAGCGGCTGCCTTCAGCACCGCCCGGCTGCTGGTTGTCATCCTCGTTCTTTTCCATTTGTAAAAGACACTCGAATTGTAAACATATTTGAAAGAAATTAACATCAATTATTTTCTATTTCAAACTGGATTACGAATTCACTTTTTACCCCTTGGATGTATACTGTACAATGACGGATGAGAAAATATTGATTTTTGTAACGTTCATTTCTTACCAGTTGAAACGATAGTTACCTTACACCAGATGTCGATATAAACGAAAATTTACACAGCATAGATTCTTGATGTACTAGATATAAAAAAATTAAATACAAAGCATTTTGACGATTATGATCTGAGTGAGAGAAATGAGTAAATGTGTGAACTCCCAGCGTTGAACTTTGTATGTTTAGGTGAACATTCCTTCTCTTCACAGGGTTTCAATCCTAATGGCGGTCAGTTCACAAACAGGATGAAAATATCCCGAAACCGATACATTTTTTTGAACGCCATTTCATTTCAACAAACACTTTTTAACGTACAACCCCATTTAACTTCGCATAATTCAACATATTTTTTTTTACTTAAAACTTCATGAACTGTAATTATTTTCATTATTCTTACATTTTTGAAATTTCAGTAATGCTTTAGTTGCAACACATATTTTATATAATCGTTATTCTTTTAAAAAAAATCGTAGAAAAAGTAAGATAAAAAAGTTAATTTTTTAATTAAAAAATAAAATATTGATTTCTCTAATCATTAGGACTTTTAATGTGTTTTTGTTATCATTGTTTATAAAAACACTGAAGTTTCCTAGGTTATTTTAATCTTGTTTGTGAACAATTACCTTTTTTCTAAACTGACACCCTGTTAACACTATAATCTATTTATTGACTATTAGTCGTGTCTCCAGGTGTAATATTTTTTTAAATTGATTCTTACTTTTGTAAATGATGGCTAAGGTGATCGAAGTGAATATAGAAAAGTGTTGTTAATTATTGTTAAAAAATTCTAAATGTGATTCAACAAAAAGTTATATTTAAAAAGAATGAAATTATCTTTTGTAGGTGCTAAAAATTATTACATTTTTTTAAGACTCATATTTGTTCTGAATAATTTGTGTTCTTGTTTTCTTGTTATAGCCTAAATATTTTTAAAATATATTTTCACTATTTCAAGTAACCTGTTTCATTAATATTAAAAGGAAAAGAGAAAAACATACGGTCTCTTTTATTGCAATATCAATAGGTTAAAATTAATAGTATTTTGTATAAAGTGAGATTTCGAAAAAGAGATGAAATGATTGTTGTAATTGTGCGTGCCTATGTACATTTTGTAAATAAATCAATGTTATTAAACTAATGTGTAACAGATATGTGTAAATTATGAAAAATAAATTTAAAAACCATAGAGATAATTTTCTTTTTTAACATCACATGACATGGGATTAGTACTTTCCAGTAGAGTTTAAGTTGAAAATTTCATATGTGTGTATGTAATACTGTTTAAAGTATTTTTATGTTCAGCAGCGGCAGTTTACTGTGTAGCAGCCGTATGATCATTTTGTATTTCTATATGCAATTTTGACAGGTAAGTTTTAGTCGAGTGTTCAAAAAATACCTTCAATTTGGTAAGATGTAACAATGAGAAAGGAAATTTTTTATAAACAAAATTAAAAACAAGACTAATTGGTAGTATTCCAATGATGCTAAAATGTCTGTTTAATTAACGCTTGCGTCACTATTATTTTCACCATCACTTCCTCGGACATCTCGCTGCCGTTGTCTCTTCGGTCGGAATTCCAGGGAATTCATCGGGTCGTATTGGGTGTATTGATTTACTGTCGTTGGGTTGTTTTTGTGAAATTTACCCTAATGGGAAAGGATTTCATTTTGAACGAAAGGAATATTTAAACCTGTATATAGTAAGACTCGGTAAAATGGGACGTCAAGGATTTTTCGTAGGAATAAGGATTGGACAGTTTGGATGCGGCGGATGTTGGAATATACGACTGAACCCCACACTTCCAGTTCGTATGTCAATACTGCCCTAAGTAGGGGTTGTAAAGCATTATTTTTTAGAGTTAAATCGGAACGTCAGTAAAGAAGTCGTGTAAGAACTCTATATTATCGTCACTTCTTGACGTTTCAGACGTTTGTGAGTATTTCACGAGAGGCGTATTTCGATGTACAGACAAAAGTACCGCACCTTGTCAGCAGTTGGGAAAGGAATATTATTTACGAAAACAGGGGTTGTTTTTGGAGATTGAAGGTAATGTGAGTGGATTTGTCTAGGTTAAATTTTATCCTTTTCTTTCTACACCGAGACTGTAGTGTGAGGTGTTGTGGGTATAGTGCCGGCGCCAGAACGCCACCCTGAGGAACACCAGCTTGGATAACACATAACAAATAGGCAGAAAGAGAATTTCCTTCGATCGCTTGGAAAAACCGGTCAGTGAGCTAGCTTTGCAGTAGGTGGTAGAAAGCGGAAGAAAATTTCTTGAGTATGAACAGCAAACCCGGGGGCCAGATTTGACCAAAAGCTTGATTTATGTCAAGTTCCCAGAACACGGGACATCACAAGGAAGGAATAAATTATATCTACTACCACGCGATGACACTGTTAAATAGTTCTGTGATGACGAAAAACAAATTGATTAATTTTGGGATAATACTTTGAGAATTTACGATTAGAACTATTCTTTTCAATAGGAGGTTTTCTAAAATTTTTACACAAAGTGGGTAGTAGTTTTATTGGCTTATACGAAGTAGTCTAACGTTTTCGATGGAACATTAGAGCGGGTAACCTACGTACATGCCGGAACACTATGCAACGCTACCCGATCCTACCCGATGCAAATCCACAGTCCAATTTTCCATAAGATTGTATTACCCCCGTGCACATCTGCTCGATGCTATGTAACGCTACCCTACTCTACGCTCTGCGATCCCCACTGCCCAGATTTTCATCCGGTAGCATCGAGTACAGTGGACGACAAAAGTGCCGGACACTTATATTTTTATTCAAACTACATGTATTATTGTCGTGACATTAATTACAATATACTTATTACATGTGTGGTGATTAGTGACCGTTAATCGATAATTGTTCAGAAATCGTGACCGCATCTCACGATTTTTGAATAATTATACTTATTACAAATTAACCGATATAAAAAATTCATCAGTTTTTGTTTTTAAATTAATTTTAATGGTTTGGTGGAAAATTGATCAAAACACCGGAATAACATTTTTTGATATAATGAATTTAAGTAACAATTTATTACATTGTTGTGCTCATAAAATTTAAATAACAATTTATTACAAGGTTTTGCTCAAAATAGTGCATTAAAAACAAAAGAGGCGTTGCGATTGTGATACACGCCGTGTGACTGTACGTGGCGTGCGCTTGACGTCGAATAGATGTGCCCACCCTACCAAAACGTGACAAGGCGTCGGGTAGCATCGGGTAGGGTCGCATAGCATTGCATCGGGTGTATTACCCGCTTAATCATCTCTAGACGATCAACTGGTCGTTAATTTAAATTATAGTTGTATGTTATAATTATATCGTTAAACTATATGGTGTGATTGCTTACGTTGTCCTTGATTCTTCTAGGCATTTATGCATACATTTTATTGCATAACATTTTAATCATCTCCTTATTTTATAAAAAACATTTCTGTGGACTTTTTTGTGAATATCAAATGCTGGTAATAAGGGAAAATCTGACTGCAAGATTTCAAGCTAGTAGTAATTTCAACAAGTTCTTCTTATAGTAAGAAATAGTATTTAAATATTATCAAATTACAAATTGCGTTAATTTAGAAATACACTAAGAGAAAGCAAAACAATTTAGGATAACATAATAAAAGTAACAGGTGGCAGGAGCTATGTGAGTGAAAAAAATTACTAAAAATTAAGTCAAATGAGCTTAGAAAATTTATAAGACAAAAGAAATGAAAGAAAATTAAAATAATGAAGAAAGAAAAACAAAAATAATATAATACGCAATTAATTCAAATAAAGATAAAATAAAATTGAAAGAATACAATAATTGCCATATGATGCCAAATGAAAGTTCAAAGTATAAATTTAAAATATTTGCAGTAATAAATTTTTGAATTGAAAAAAAAAAAATGAATTTTTGAAATCATGATGAGAATTAAACAACCTCGGTAAAAATAACCTTTTCGCTTAATCAAACAATGAGTATCAAACAAAACAAAAAGTAATTACTATTTTTTATCCAAAGTAAACACTAATTTTTAATAACTAATTTAATTTTTCATTAAATGTTTTCTTCAAGTTTCTTTACAATCATGAATCTAATTTTAACAGACATACAAGGAAGAACTTTTTTTTTTTTTGGGGGGGGGGGGTTTACGCTGGCATATTACCCATGAAGTTTTCTATTTTCATTTTACTGTCGAGCGGGATCAGCCGACCAGGACCAGGTTACCGCCGCGCGCCCGCACCCACTCATTCAGCTTCAGCTCCATCATCTTCTCATCTTCTAAATTTTTATGGTTGAAGATAATCAAAATGAAACGTTTATCGACTTTAGAAATCCATAGATTATGTTGAAAGCTGATGGATTGTTTCTTATTAGGACAGATTCTAAAATTATTGGTTTGCAAATGTTTGGGACTTTGCTCAGTTTTTTTAGCAGTTTGTCTCTTTCATTTTCATATTCTGGATATTCAAAAATTATGTGGAAAGGATTTGAAGGGCAATCGCAAGTGGGACAATTCTGAGACGATGCCAAACCGATTCTCTTCTTGCAGCTACCCCATAGGCCATGATTTGTCTTTAGTCTAAAAATAGTAGAATATAACTCCTTTCACATTCCTCCTGGGCTATCGCCTTCCAAAAACCATGGTTTTTCTTGAGCTCAGGGAACAGTGGCCTGTAAATTGCCAACATTTGATGCGTTGTATTTTTCTTGCCACAGATTTCTACAAAACCTTTCCAAAAAGTTTTTCCCGCCATCTGTAGGAATTTTAATGTCAAGGGTTGGACCTGATGTTGCAGCCTTCTATGCAAGTGTGTCCACCGTTTCATTTTGCCATAAGCCTGCATGCCCTTTCACCCAACACAATGCCACCCTTTTTCCCATGATTTTTGTCTCAAGCATTTTCCTACAGATTTGGGCAAAAATGTAGTTTCTGCATTTATATTCTGGGATAATGTTATTTATCCTTTCTACAATGCTTACCATCCCTAAAAGAATATTTTTAAAACAATTGTCTATATTTTATAACTATCATATAGTTTATTGGTAATCTGAAAGGCTTAGAAAGGATAATTTTCAAAAAAGAATTTTGAGTAATAATTAATGGATTTAATTAGCAATTATTGGTTTCTCCTCATGCAACAATAGCAAATTACAGACTGAACTAAGTCAACATAAACTGATTTTACCAATTTTAAATTTAGGATCTTTCTTAATACATTTAATTTACTCGCATAACCAACGGATCAATGTGTAACTAAAAATTTATCCTAGGGTTCCAAGTAGTAGGAATTATTTCTAATTGATATGGGGAACAATTAGTACCAAATGAATTAATCTACGTATTGAAACAAAATTTAAAGCCCGTTAAAACTAACTTTTGACTTAATGGAAGATGTAAAAATTGGATTTATCGTTCTTTAAAATTAAACCCTTAAATGATACCCATGTTTTAACAAGTCATCAGATCATTGTTAATAGATATAAGAAAAATATCAATTGATCCCTTCAGAAAAATCAAGCACGTATAATCCGCACAAGTAAAAACTTTACAGATTTTTTTTAAATTTTAAAAGAACATTAATATATAAAAGGAAAAACAGTACCATGAGGGACTCCAGAGACCATAGGCAATGGATTGCTACAGACTGTTCCAACTTTTATTGTCTGAGTTCTTCCCACCACTAAATAAGACTCAATAAGTTTAAGTGGAATTAATTAGTTTTAGTGATTTAATAACAATTGATGATCGAAGGAGTCAAAAGCATTTTAAAAACTAGAAAGTTCCCAAAAACATGAAAACTTCCAATTCTTTTGAAATATTGCTAACAACAGCAAACAGTGCCTGTTCAATTGACTTACCATGACTGAAACAATATTGGTTAGGAGAAATTTCATTATGGTCATTAAGAAAAAGAAATAATCTCTTTTTAACCAATTGTTTCATAATTTTAACCAAAGTTAAGGTAAACAATTTAGTGTATAATCATTAACATCAGATTAAGGTCAGAGCACTAATCAGCTGCTACAGATTAATTAGCGAAGGTAGCTGGAATCATAAGTTCATAATATAGGTGACTGAAAATCTTACTATTGAGTAAGGTTAACGGCCAATTATTAAGAGTTAGTGATAAAATGATTAAAACCCCTTCGGAGAAGAAATACATTCAGGTAGTCACTCCTTGTGAATATAATTATAATTTGGATGATGACCATCGCAACATAGACTGCTACACAGAAGATTCCCTTATCAAAGGTAGAGGGAGTGGTGCAGGAATATACATACCTAAATTAGGAATTAGGGCAATAACACATCCGTTTTTCAGGCGGAAATCTGGGCCATTAATGTGTGTTGTAGAAAACTTATGAAAAATAAAATGAAGGGAAAGAATATTAGAATTTTTTCTGACAGTCAGGCTAGTCTTAGATCGTTACAAAAAGATTTGTCAACTTATATATAGAAAGAAGAAGCAGGAATATGACTCTTATTAATTTTATTTTTAATTAATTAAGGTTTTCAGTTGAGATAAAAAAGTCAATGGCACGAGCGGGATTCGAACCCACGATCTTCGGCTTGATACGCTCAAGTGGTAGAGCAGCGGCGTATCAAGCCGAAGATCGTGGGTTCGGATCCCGCTCGTGCCATTGACTTTTTTATCTCAACTGAAAACCTTAATTAATTGTAATACATTAATTGGTCAAGCGGACCACGAAACTAGTGAATTGAATAAGTTTATTTTTAATATTCGTACCAACAGAGAAAAAGAATTTATGAATGTATTAGCAACTTCAGAATTACCAATCTGGTAATTATAAATTAATTATAAAGTTGGGATAATTAGGATCGAATAGTAAATTATGTACTGTAAAACAGGTGAAGTAGAACAATTAAAATTTGAAAACTTTTTTATTGTTTTCGGTTCTTTGCATCACAAATAGCGAAATTATAATAAATGGTTCATAACAGCACAACACGATAACATTAAAGTTTTGATAATAGTTATTTCGTCGCAAAGGTCAACGATTCCTTTTTTTTACATTTTGTTTGACCTGATAAGCTCAAGAACACATCAAAAAATTAGAAATAATCTTCAGCTCTTCACATTTCAATTCATGAATCAAATACGTATCCAACTTTCCTGTGAGCGTTTGGTTTAAGGAATTCCTTAACTTTTAAGTTGCCGAGAGAGTATTCCAGGAGAGAAGATTTGGCTCCTGGAAAATGTTGGAAGCTGTGTGTGCCCAGATGGTAAGGCTGTGCGGTGACTGATCCATATTGATTAAAGCCGGAGAGGTCAGTTTTAAAACTTGCCTCGGCTGAAGGAGCAGAATGTTCAGGCAAATGCGACCCTTTGGCAACAAAACCCTTTGCCGCACCGGCTTCGTAGTTGACGGTTTTACTTAGGCCGTCTTTGCCAACGTACGAGAAGGTACCGACTACATTGCCCTGTGGGTCGGAGCTTTCCTGCCTTGATTGGTCTACGGTATTGTAAGAGAAGGAATACGAAGCGTCTCCTGTTCCAGCCAAGGGGTCAAGGCTTCCTTCGGAAGCAAATCCTCCTGAAGTATAAGTAGATCCTGCAGGAGAATATCCACGGCTGTTATAATCTTTTCCATTGTAGGAAAATAAGTAATCAGGAGTTTGTTTTTGCAAAACGCTCTGAGAAGAAACAGAGCTTCCGAGTGAGGGTTGTTTGGGTAAATGGCCTCCACGAGCAACAAAACCTTGTTCAGCTCCTGCTACGTAATCGACTTTTCTCGGTACGCCATCGTCCTTCGGGACGAAAGAAAAACTACCGACTACATTGCCGGCAGAATCAGCCGTTTCTTGCCTCGAATGATCGCCAGCATTGTAGGAAAATGAGTAAGAACCGTCAGTTTTTCCTTGATTTTCCGCGTTATCAAAACTATGTCCTGCGAATCCACTCGAGTGTGTGTTTACGTTTTGGCGTTGGTAGGATGGTAACGGCTGAACCGTCTGATAGTTTTGAAGTACAGCAGTTGGATCAGCTGGAAGATGGGCTCCCGAGGCGACGAAACCACTTTCAGATCCCGCTTTGTAATTTACTGTACGAAAAGCATTGTCATCTTTTGGAACAAAAGAAAAGCTTCCAACAACATTGCCATTAGCATCTGCGCTTTCTTGCCTACTATGATCTCCTGCATTATAAGAAAAGGAATAAGATCCATCACTTGCCCCTCCACCTACTGAGTTTGGTGTAGCAGCATTAACGGTAACGCTATCGGAAACTGACGTGGGGAATTGATTGTAGACTGAGGGACGGCTCGCTCCTGCAGATGGAAGGTGGCTTCCTGTAGCGAGGAAACCACTTTCAGCTCCTGCTTTATAGTTTACTGTACGAAGGGCGTTATCATCTTTAGCAACAAATGAAAAGCTTCCAACAACATTCCCATTTGCATCAGCGCTTTCATGTCTGTTATGATCTCCCGCATTGTAGGAAAAGGAATAAGAACCATCATTTGCTCCTTTATCTCCAGAATATGATGTAGCAGCATTTACAACAACACTGTCGGAAAATGATGTGGGGAGTTGATTGTATACCGAGGGAGTGTTAACTCCTGCTGATGGAAGGTGGCTTCCTGTAGCGACAAAACCACTTTCAGCTCCTGCTTTGTAATTGACTGTACGAAGAGCGTTGTCATCTTTAGCAACAAAAGAAAACCTTCCAACGACGTTGCCGTTAGCATCTGCGCTCTCTTGTCTGTTATGATCTCCAGCATTGTACGAAAAGGAATAGGATCCATCACTTGATCCTCCATTTGCTGCTGAGTGTGATGAAGCAACATGTCCTGCTGAATATCCTGAAGGAGTAGCAGTAGCGAACCCTTGATTGTAAGGTGAAACGCTTACAGGAGAAAGATATTGGTTCGAAACACCATATGCTGTACTGCTTTGACCAAAGGTTTTCCTCGCGTAACCATCCGCAGAAGCTGGAACGCATAAATACAATAATCATTATCCCTGTTTTATTAGTAAATTGCCTATATTATTACAATATTCATTTGACAAAGCTAATAATATAATGGATCTATACCTGGTGGTACAACAAGTTTGTTAGGTTTGAATCCTCCAACACCTGAAGTATATTCGACGGTTACGGGTCCGGAGGGGCTGTTGTAACTGTAAGCACCCTTGACTTCGTTCTCATGGGTAGCCAAAGCCTTTTCCGATGATCCGAGGCCTGTGTCATATCCGTACTTGTAGCCTCCATCATCAAGAAGAAAAAGATACTGAGTCCTGCGTCCGGATGGAACTTGAGGTACGCGCCCTGCTCCAACTAGCCCCACTGTGACTACGGCCACCACTAACCACTGAAAGAAAAAGTACACAATATTATTTTTTTTTAAAATTGAGGATGAATTTCGACTTCTTCGTGTTAGGAGAAACCAATTTGATTGTTTACCATGTCTATCAAGCATCATTAAGAAGAAGTTCTAATAAAGGTTTCTTTGATAGTTGCCACTTTTACGTTTATTTAATTATTTATTTTTATGTGCATTTAGTTTTTCAAAAATAAATTCTGTTTTACGGTTCGCAGATGCGGAAACGTCGCAACGCAAATGAATTAACTAAAATGTTCGTCACGGAATGTTTGTGCAAAAACGTCTTTAAAATTCACCTAACCGAAACATACAACGCTATATTTAAAGCAACATATCATCATGCTAATATTATATTCACATATTTAGCTTACAACAGTTGATCTCAAAAATTTTTAAAAGACATGCAAAATATGCTTAGCCTCTTAAATGAAACTAAAATGGTTTTTAATAAAGTTTAACATGACCGCCTACTAGTTGAAACATAAAACAAACTGTTTTTAGAAAGACTACATAAAATCGGTCCTTCGTGAAAGAATATTCCCTGTCAAGTAGAAATGTGCAGTACCTAGATGAGGAATTATAAAAGCTGGAGTTTCATGAGGATTCGTTTTGAGGCCTTTTCTATTTCTGGAAACCCAACAGAGTCTGTAAACATTTAAACTTTTTTGGTGGCTTGTCAATAACATGATCTTCCTCGTATGCACCGACTCTCTGAGCGCTGTTTGGGCCCTGCGAGGCGGGTTCTCTGTGAACCCTTTCATCGTCCTGTTGTTGGAAAAATTCGCCGAGTAGAAGCGCTTAAGAAAAACGGTGTCTGGATTCCCGGACACGTCGGGCTGGAAGGTAATGAACGTGCGGACGAGGCGGCAGAGGCGGCAGAGCCGGGACGTCCCACACTCCAGACCGGACCATCGCGACCAGGCCCTCTGACGCGAAGCTAGTAAGCCTAGCAGTAAAGAACATGATAAAAGAAAGATGGCAGCGTCAGTGGGCCGGATCGTCCGAGAAGCTTTTGCGCGTCAAGAGCACGATTCGTAGATGGCCCCCCGAGAACCTGAGCCGAAAACAAAGAATCGTTCTTACGCGATTAAGAATAGGCCATACGACACACAGGCACCTGTTATTGGGACAAAGCCCCTTATGCAGAGAAAGATTGCTCTATGTGTCCCACATACTAGAAACCTGTCATGCCTTGGCTCCCTACAGGGAGCTTGTAGGCATGCCATCCAATCTGAAAATGGTAATCGAGCATTGCAGAGTGTTTCTGAATCCCCTGTTCCGCTTTTTAGGGGAAATTGGGTTTTTTTATTGTATATAATAAGTCTTATGTGTTGTGCGTTTATATGTTTAGTATGAGTGCATGTATTTATTAGCGTGAATGCCCCCTCGAACGTTGAGCGTATGAGTGTGTGGTTGGGGTCGATGGCGGAATATTTATAAAAGTACTCCATCGACCACAATCTAGATTAATTTGAGTATAGGGTCGGTAGAGGAATATCAAGTACTCAAGTACTACGGAATGTGTGTACTCTATGGATGTATATATGTGTATGAATGTATTTATTTGTATGTATGTAGTGTTTGAAATGATAAATATAGACTTAGTTGGTAGCTGAAATGACCTAGCTGTCTGTCGGAAGCCCCAGTCAAAAAAAAAAAAAATGTATGTTATCACCAGTTATCACGCACAAGTTACCAAGGTACATTACTATCATCAACAAAATTGAAGACTGGTGTGATAACTATCGAACTAAATTGAACTTTTCTAGACCTTTCCGGTGGTCTGTTTTAATCTGTGATCTGTACAAAAAAGGCGACATATCTTGGTCAAAGAAAGGCTGAGAAACTCAACTGAGCTTGCTCATATACCATCATCTGCAGAAAAAATACTCATATCTACTCTCCACAGCATCTCGTTATGATACCTGTTATCCCTCTTTATTTGATCGGTATGTACCAACAGTAAGGTCATATCGTATGATGTTCTGCCTCATCGACATACACGATGACGGGGCAAAGTCACCTACTTTAACTACAGTAAAAACAGATAGCCCTTGCTTTCTGAGAAAAGTGCCAGTTCACAAGAAGGTTCAAGAAGCAGAAAATAAATAAAATTATAAAAAACAGTTATGGTCATCTTAACCAATGTATTCACACTTTAACTGTGTGAACAGCTACAAGAATTGTTTAATACTTTGATGGTTGCCAGAGGAAATCAACAGTGATCTTTAAAGCAGTGAAAATGATGAAATTCGTAAATTTTGTGTGAATTGCCTTACAGAACAACTATTTGCGTTGACTACCGTTGGATGTTCTTCATGTTTAATGTTTTAATTTTTTATTAATTAGTCGTTAAATGATCCGGCCGGGTCCCGTTAAACCGAATTGAAATAAGCTGTACTACTCACAGTTAGTCTGCGTCCCATCTTTGCTTAAGCTTCAGGTGGTCAAGAAATTGAGTTCGCAAAGTCAGTGGTCGGCTTATATATGTCTCAAAAGTGGGAGGCCTCCGGGAAGATACAAATAAACAAATTGGTGGGGATGCAACGGGATGAGTCGTGGCCTTGCCACAAGGACAAATAGATAAATACAGGTTGCTACAGTTCTTCTTCCTCCTCCCATGACAACGGTCAATTTATTATTGCAGGAATAAACGGGTAAAAGCGGCCGAATAATTCGGCAATGTTAAGTTAGATAATACAATCACGTTGTTTCGTAAATAACCATAGAGAAAAATAAATTGCCAGATAATATAAGCATATATTTTAAGTTTTTAACAATTTTTTTGTTTTTGTTGAAATGTTACAAAGTTAGAAGGCATAGCTATATGATAGTTTATATATGTTTCACAAATATAAATGTGTGTTTTGGAGGGAGGTTGATCGTGTTACTCCGGATTAAACTAACAAGATTCTATATTCTGTCTCCTTGATGCATCCAACTGGAAAATTCTCAATGCATCAGCAATATGATAGGTATAAATACCTATTCACTCCATCTTCTGAAGTCTCGTATCTACTACACGAAAAATTCTCCTCGAAGATAAACAGACGAATCTGTTTTGTTAGAATTTTCTGAAAAATAATTATTTTTTATTATAGTATATTCGGCAAACCTGTTTTTTTCACATTTATAAATATAGAAAAAAGGGAAAATGGAGGGAGAGAGAGAGAGAGAGGGAAGAGAGACAGACAGAAAGAAAGATATCTCGGAGAGTCAATCATTGACTCTCAGGATTGACTTTTGTTCTGAATCTGTCATTGAGCCGATAAAAAAGTAATCCAGGTATTTTCATTTCAAACCAACATTAACCGCTTAAAATCCACAAAAGAGGTGAAAAAAAATTCCCGGCATACCTTGTCGTTCTTGTGTACTCATGTCCTCACATTTAACTAAATAATTCCTCTAGTTATCCTACAACGACATCTTTTTTTAATTTGGCATAACAGGAAGCTGATGTATGCGATTCTCGTTTGGGGTCTCTTTTACAGAACTAATTTTGAGATCCATCAACTCATTTAAAATTAGTGCTTAAAGGTGGCTCCAGACATGCGAGATTCGCCGAATGCCAAGCAAAAGTTTGCCATATTCCGACTACTGAGGATAGGTGCTTGGTTATGCGCCGATCAAAAATAATTCGGTGCTCGCCTTGTTCGGCTAATTGTTGGTTTTATTGTCCTCTTCGAAATGCACTTATATTCGCGAAATTATTATTATTATTTAATTAATTAAAAGCGTACTCACAATCGGGAATCAATCGTCCTGCACGTAATTCAACAGTAATATCAATCAATAGTAAATGTTTACTGATATTTATTTTTCAATAATAAAACTGTTTCTTGTACCAAGCTGGCCTCCGGGTCTGCAGCGGACGGCGGGTGCTTTATCAGAGGCATACGAGGGTTAGGGTACCAGATCCTGTCTGCATAGACAGGGGAGGGTGCATAACCATCTGTACGACGGGACAGGAGAAATGTTCCAATGTCCAGCCCTGCTAATGGGCACGGACTCGAAGTGGCTTAGAGGCGTTGCTCCTGTTGGGAACTTAGAGAAGAGGCTGTACTTCTATCTGTGACCTCCGCCCAAGCACTGGCGTATGACGTTTGTTACAACCCTTTCCTCACGGGATACGAAGGATTGGACCATCGAAGTATACAGCTTGAGGACGCTCAGATTACCCTGACAGACTTCCTCAAATGTGTGAGAAGCGGCAGATGGGAACGGATAGTGGTAGGTGGTGCCGGCATTGGCGTCCTTTACCGGAGGCAGCCACTTCTAGGGGGTGGTTAGCAATTCCACTTTAAACAAAACAGCGGCCGGAGTGGATCCGGAAGTTCTTACTCTGGGAGATAGAGTCGCCTTCTCTATCCAGGGAGTGCGTGGGAGACCAGGCTGATTCATTTCAGCCACCTTGGGTAGCCCTTTACACGCGGCAACGGTCTGATGCACAATGCATACCCGACCACTCGGAATGGGCAAGCGGGGAGGTTTGTCTTGGTCCCTCGGGCTGGGCCGGCTTCTACACCAACGCTTGCGGCTGTAACACACATTCAGTCGTGAGCAGAGGTGCGTCATCTCTCATCTTGAGAATCAAAATGCCCGGTAAGGCCACGAGCCATGTACGGACGCTAAAGATCTTCATTGTCCTTTTAAGGACGACCGAGTATTTGGAAGTGTACCAAGCTGAACGAATAATTTGGAACGCTTCCATTCCGAATCACAAACATCAGAATGAAGTTTTCGATGCGTGGAATTGGATCGAAAGCAAGATAAGATAACAGTACTCTGAGACTGAATTGTGAATGAGTTTGAAGCCACTACACAAAACTGTAGCCGCAGCTGCAGCAATGATAGTTTTACTGCTGTCCATCACGATTGTAGTACGTTGAGGACGGCATTGGCAAATACGTACTAGCTGTTTGCGCAGAAACCGGGTGGTCGTACAAAACCCCGCATGTGCGTATACTTGCAAATATTCGGCGGCAATTTCTGGAGCCACATTTAGAATAGTGTACTTGTACTTGGGATATAGTGAACTTGAAAACAAATTAATTTAACGCAAACATTCCACAGATTCCATTTTCCGATCACTAAACCATAATATCATTCATGTACAATCGAAGCATGAAAGAATCAAAACAATTTTTTATTAAATACCAGATATAATCAACTAAGAATGTAGGTTCGGTCGTTATTATTGTTAAATTTTAAAATATTTATAATTTTACAATATTTGTCATTATAATTAATTTTATATGTGCATATAATTCATATATTTACATTTATATTATTGATTAAACTACTTAACAACAATTTATTATGAACTAGGTATAGTTATGTAAAACAAGGAGCGAGCAGTTTTTGCATTTTCCTGGGTAATTTATAACCTTGTAAACAGTAAAAATGTAAAATAAAAACTATTATAGAGATCATAAAGTCCCGTTCTCTGTCGCACTTCAATAAACAATTCACTCGATAGTCGGATTAAGTTAATAAAATATTTTATACCCATACACAGACCTACTTGCTCTTCAGCTTTTCTAAACTGAAATAGACGCCAGACCCAAACGTATTTGTTTTCTATCGGTTAGGTAACCAGTCAATTCTCTGTAGACTCTTTGGCACATTTTACGAGGTAATTTATTAAGCCAATTATTTCGAGCCGCTAGGGCAGGTATGTAGGAGTTACCCTTTGCCTTTCTTCCTCCTACATCGTCGCCAACCTACTAATTCTAGAAGAGTTGGAACTGATTCTGCCTACAGATAAGAAAGTTAAAGAAAAAGTGATTAATCGATTAGTAAACAAGAAACAAAATAACCAACAGTTGGCTTATTCTTCAACTGGTTGTGCGAGATCCCAAGACTAGCGTCATTCATCTTTGTACATTTAAAAAATAATCAGTGGAAAAGAACGTTACCACCCCACCTGGTTAAATCTCGAACATTGCAATATGAGATATAAGGGGTATTCACGATCTTTGTTTTGACCTGTTAACTCTGTTAAGTCCCGTCAGATCGAGAAAAATGATGACTTAGACTTGTAAGAATCAGTAAGTTAACATTGCTCGATCTAACAAGACATGGCCAATGTTAGATGTTACGTCGAAAACGTAATGACATTGCTATCTGTTAGGGTGTAGGCAACCAACATGGCAACCATGAATTTAACAGCTGTTTTTTTTTTGTTTACATGTATTTTTATTTGTTGAAGCGTGTCATTTGTTAATACTTTTCGAAGGCATAGATAGCATTATGAATGAAAGAGTTGATTAATTTTTCTTTTTTATGAACTTCTGGCATCTTACAATTTAACAGAAAAGAAAACAAAAACAAACAACAACAAGCCTTCAAGGACTGTTATAGCTTTATTTTTGGTTCTGCCAAACGCCACGCAGAGCATTGCGGAAAAATTAACGTTTAACATGCTCAGAAAAGAAGGGGGCGTTCACGATCTTACTGGACATTTCTCTATTCGAGTTAACACGAGTTAACATTTTACAAACATCGTGCATACTCCTATTAAGTCGAAATTAGAATGTTAGTTGCAGTAGATTCCGTAGATGTAACCTCACAGGCTACCATCAAGTTCCTACCTAACATTTCTTAGGGTTTTCCATCAATAAGAATAGTTGCTTGATTTTAGAAAGAATATATTAAGGAAGTTAAGTAACAAATAACTTTTTTTGTAACAATAAATAAACCAAAATAACGAATCAATATTAATCCATGTTACCTGCAAATTCAAAAATTCTTATTTTTTTGTCTGATTAATTATATTCTTATTAATTAATAAATAGACTTAACATTTGTGATAGAAATCTAATTTTTTAATCAAAACTGTAATTTTCTTTTATCTTGAATTATTTATTTTAGTAGTTTATAAATATCGTGAAACGCTATCGTCGTCTCACCATTTACCTCTATGTATTTTATTCTTTCCAAAAACTCCAAATATGAAATAGTAATTATACTAATAATTACGATCTGAATTAACTAATTAACTAGCCGATACCGAGAGTCACGGGTTATGTAATTAATTGGTTGCAACTCACATTTATTCCATTACAACTTTGGGCGCCATTCTACCCATCTAGGGTTATGATAAATAAATACATATATTAGCGCTCACCCTCACCGGGATTCTATAAATATTGGGTTGTCCGGAAAATAATGCAGGATTTTAAGTTTTCATTAAAAAAAATCTATATAAAATATTCTGTTTACGTTTACAGGATTTATTAATCCTCTTCCAAATGATATTGTTTGTTTACCTCTGTAGCATTCCGCTACTTGGAAATAATTCAGTCATCCTTATAATGTCAAAGCGAGAATTTCGTACGATTTTCTTTTACGAGTTTAAACTCGGCCGAAGCGGAGCCCAAACGGCTAGAAACATTAACCAAGTATGGGGCGAGGGTTGTGTTAATGAGTGCACTGTGCAAAGGTGGTTTAAAAAATTTCGGGAGGGAGATTTCAGCCTTGAAGATGAAGAAGGT